ATCACCAGGGCTCTTTACGGCTCCAAGTGTTATTTTCCTAGGGCTCCTGTAACAAACTACTCGGAACAGGGAGGCTTAAAACAACAGAAATTTATTCTTTCACAGTTCTGGAGGCTGGAGGCATGAAATCACAATATAAGCAGGGCTGGTTCCTTCTAAAGGTGAATCTGTTCCATGCCTCCCTCCTAGTTTGTGACGACCCCCTGGTGATCCATGCCTTCCTTGGCTCATGGATCACCAGGGCTCTTTACGGCTCCAAGTGTTATTTTCCTAGGGCTCCTGTAACAAACTACTCGGAACAGGGAGGCTTAAAACAACAGAAATTTATTCTTTCACAGTTCTGGAGGCTGGAGGCATGAAATCACAATATAAGCAGGGCTGGTTCCTTCTAAAGGTGAATCTGTTCCATGCCTCCCTCCTAGTTTGTGACGACCCCCTGGTGATCCATGCCTTCCTTGGCTCATGGATGCATCACTCCCAGCTCTGCTTCCATTCTCACATGGCATTCGTATGGTCCTCTTCTTCTTCTTCTTTTTTAAACATTTTATTTATTTATTTGACACAGAGAGAGAGATCACAAGTAGGCAGAGAGGCAGGCAAAGAGAGAGAGAGGAGGAAGCAGCCTCCCTGCTGAGCAGGGAGCCCGATGCGGGGCTCGATCCCAGGATCCTGGAACCACGACCTGAGTCGAAGGCAGAGGCTTTAACCCACTGAGCCATCCAGGCGCTCCTGGTCCTCTTCTTTTAAGGGCACCAGTCATATTGAATTAGTCACCTGCTCCCACTCTAGGATGACATCATTTTATCTAAGTACATCTGCAATAACCCTATATCTGAATAAGATCACATTCTGGGGAACTGAGGGCTAGGACTTCAACATACTTTTTTTTTTTTTTTTTTAAGATTTTATTTATTTATTTATTTATTTATTTTAGAGAGAGCAGGGGAGGAGCAGAGGGAGAGAATCTCAAGCAGACTCCCCACCGAATGCAGAGTCCAACATGGGTCTCAATCTCACCACCCTGAGATCATAACCTGAGCAGGAATCAAGATCTGAGCCACCCAGGCACCCCTCAACATACTTTTACTGAAGGATGTAATTCAACCTGTAACACCTCATTAAGCAGAATAAGCCAGGAGAAAAGGAAATTATTTGATTTGGAGGATTTTGCACAAAAAGTTGAGTTTATTTCTTCTTACAGTTCTAAGTTCTCCAGGAATTAATAAGATTCTTAGATTTTTTTTTTAAGACTTTAATTATTTGATAGAGAGCACAAGCAGGGGGAGAGGAACAAGCAGACTCCCTGCTGAGCAGGGAGCCCTATGTGGGGCTGGATCCCAGGATCTGGGATCATGACCTGAGCTGCTTAACTGACTGAGCCACCCAGGAGTCCCTAGCCTCGCACTTTTATATATGGCAAATTTTCTAGAAACACACCTCTAGTATGACCCTATTCGACTACCCCTTTTTGCATTCAAGACCCAACCAAATTTTGTGCCTGCCTCATCTCCCTCCCCTTTGCCCCATCCCTTCCAAATGGAATGAGGCTGTGGCTTTCAAGTCTCAGTGGCAAAGCCACCTCCTCCTACCGCTCGCCCATTCCTGAACCCTTACCTCTCCCGATTCTGCCTAGTGATACGGTTATTTATTTGTGTACCCGTCTATGCTCCCCACCAAACTCCGCTCCTTGCGCCCCAGGCAGGGCCACAACAAGACCTTATCAGTCCATGTGCCTGGAAAAAACCCAGGGAGGCTCCCTGAAGGAGGAGCTGGCCAACCACGGACTAAAACCCGCCCAAGCGGTTTCTTCCTAGAGATTCCGCTCAGTGGCTGTCACGGGCCGGCCTTGAGCAGAACGTCTCCAGGACGCGGTGGAATGAATATGCAGACCACCCGGGGGCTCGGGATCGGAGGACACCGCCTTGGCGGGAGGCCGCCACGAGGCCCGCAGCGGAGGAGTGGCTCCCGCGCAGCTCAGCCGGACCCATCCCCCGCCGGAACACGGCTGCCGCCGGAACCTTTCCGCCGCCAGGCCGGGCCCTAAGAGGCGAAGCACCGCCGGGCCGGAAGTCGGTGGAGGAAGATGGGACTGCGGGAACCCCGTCCTTTACCTGGAAGGATGAGCGTCGGTAGTCTCCTCGTGGCGGGAGGTAGGGTACCTGGAATGCTGGTTAATTTCCCGCCTGTCTTTAGCCTCTGGGCCTGGAGTACCTTCTTCCACAAGTCGCCCGTCCAGCCTTCCCTCTTGGAGTCTTGGCTGAGCTGACGGGGCGCCTCGATGCGACTGCGCTTCCCGGAGGAGGGGTCCGCGGGCGGGCCTTTCCCCGACTGTGTGGCGGGCGGAGGGTTGAGATGCCAACCGCCGTCTGCTCACCTCAGGCTGTGGTATTTTCCTGGGGCCGCGGTGTCTGAGTGACTTCCCATTGGTTTTGCAGAATTCTTTCTTTTTTAAAAAGATTTTATTTATTTACTCCACACAGAGAGAGATCACAAGTAGGCAGAGAGGCAGGCAGAGTGGGGGGTGGGGGGAGAAGCAGGCTCCCCGCTGAGCAGAGAGTCCGATGTGGGACTCGATCCCAGGAGCCTGAGACCATGACCCGAGCCGAAGGCAGAAGCTTAACCCACTGAGCCACCCCGGCGCCCCCAGAATTACTTCTTAATGTGGTGTCTTGTTTTTCTGCTTGCGGAAACAGTCGTAGTAGAAATCTGGAAAAGTGTACCGGTGAGAATAAAAACCGCCCGTTACATCCACCACTCAGTTAAAACACGTCTTATAAACGTATACAATTTAATTTTATTTGGTTGCACTGCATAAGAAACTAGCGAAAATGGATGTGAAAATATTCCTAACGAGAGATATGAATTACACAAAGATTCCTCTAAAGTTAAAAATGTCAAAAACGTTCAGCGGTGGAAATCATTGTCTTAAATACATGCTTTTTTATAGGCATTAAGTAAGATTTCTTGGTAGTAAAACTTAGGACTATCCACAAAAATCAGAAGACCTCTCTTGCGAGTATGGTATACCACTTCTAGGATTATGGGAATGTCTCTGTCCCTTTGCGAAGGCTCTAGTCAAGCCACAATTAATACTAAAAAGAAGTAGGACATTCCAGCTTACATTTTGCTGAATTTTCCTTTTAGGAAGGGGGCGATGTTTTCCAGTTCCATTAAGGTCATCCTTATTCCAGGCGTTACATAGTTCCTGCTGTTGGAAAAAATCCGCTGCACCTAAGAAGATTACTCCCAATGCTGCTTTTTACGATGAAAATACAAAGGAACCTGGAAATGCACTTGACAAGCTCTTCTCTTCAGAACAGCAGGCTTCCATCTTGCATGTGTTGAATACGGCATCTAATAAAGAACTTGAAGCTTTCAGGTTGCTTCGTGGAAGAAAATCTGTCAATATTATAGAGCACAGAGAGAAGTTTGGGCCATTTCAGAATTTGGAGAGTTTAATGAATGTGCCCTTGTTCCAGTATAAAACTACCATTCAAGTTTGTAACTCCATTCTTTGTCCAGAGACTGGAGGGAAAAAAAGAAAGTTCCAGGACAACCGGCTCTTGAGAAAGCTCATCAAACCAGAAATAGAGAGAGAGAGACTTAAGGTATACCGTTTTTCTTTTCAATTATTTTTTTTTTTAAAGATTTTGTTTATTTATTTGATGGAGAGAGATCACAAGTAGGCAGAGCAGCAGGCACAGAGAGAGCGGGGAGCAGGCTGCCTGCTGAGCTGAGAGCCCGATGTGGGGCTCAATCCCAGGACCCTGAGATCGTGACCTGAGCCAGAGGTTTAGCCCACTGAGCGACCCAGGTACCCTGGTATACTGTTTTTTCTTAATGTCCGTTATACTGCTCCCTCCATATTGAGAATCTACTTTGCAAAGTACTATTCTGGGTAGCAGGACAGCTTATAGTTTAGTTGGTATGTGATCAGTACAGAAGAATGAGATGAGGAGAGAGTGAATGGGCAGTCGAAAGGACAGAGAACCATGGGCTGTGCCTGTTGGGGAAAGTTGACCAAAACCTAGATCTCAGAGAAGGAGAATGAGGCTCATTGGAGGAGGCAGGCATTCTAGGAAGAAAGAACAATTGTAGAGAAACAGGTCTGTGCAAGATTTATTGAAGGAACTTCAATAAATTGAGGAGAATTGAGGAACTACCTGTGTCTATCAAGAGGGTTATATTGAGATTAAGATACAAAGAGGGTTATGACCAAGGAGTGACTTCAGAACATTATACTGGTCTTTGCAGCAGGATTTAAAGTTATTTTCTGTTCCCCCTTTCAAAAGGCATTCTACAAGCAAATCCTTTTCAGTGTTGTCTTAAAAAACAAATATTAGAACTACTTGGCACATCAAACATTAAACCTTGGAGGAGGAGGTTAGGTCCTGTGTAGCAGTACGTGATAAAATATTCTCTCATTGCGTACCAATAGTAAGCACATTTTTTCTCTGGACCAGTGGTTCTCAGTTTTGGGAAGATCATGGACACTTTCTGAAAACCTGATGAAAGCTAAGGACCCTCTTTTCAGAAAAACAACCCCAAAAAGCACATTTACATAGAATATTGCATACACTTTCAGCGGACATATAGGTTACATAAAATCCATTCATGGACTACAGATAGAACAACTTCTGCAGTTGATCTGGAACATATTTGAACCAAAATTTTCAGGGTTTGGATTTCTGTTCCGATTTGGCTACAAGTACTATTTATAGTCATTATAGTGGAGTTGCAATGTTTTTACAGGGATGGGTTCTAAAGCCATTTTGTATATGATGAGAACAATTATACTGACTTCCAAATAAAGTATGTTCTTTTCCTCAAATCTCTTGCCCATGAAGTACCATGTGTAACCTGGTTTAGTAATTCTTATGTACACTAAAGCTTGAGAATCATTGAACTCAGGAATCAAAAGAAGGCCTGTATTTTGTAGATGTTTGGGCATCCAAACTAGTCTGCATTTAATGGATATTTTATCCATTCCCTAGCAGTGAAAGGGAGATGGGTATAGAATTATAAAATGTTCCTGCTTGTGTGCCTTTGTATCTACAGAGCACACTAATTTATTTATCCGTACAACTAAATGAACTGTGTGAGGGTACAGAGATGCTATTGTACTCTTAACCTCCAGCCTCTGCAGAGTTAAATCCACATATCCAACTATCTATTACACATTTCCCCTTAGAAGCCCTATAGGCAACCTGAGTACAGTACGTTAAAAAATTCCTCTTCCCCTACCTTCCCAAGTTCAGCTGCTTCCTATCATCATCTTGATTAATGTCTTAATATTAATACTGCAATAAAAGTGGGCTATCCTAAGCTCTCCCACCCCTGCATATCAGTTCTACTGGCATTATATCTGACCTGTTTCTTGTCCTCATCATCACTGTCTTTGATTTTTTTTTTTTTAAGATTTTATTTATTTATTTGACAGAGAGAGAGATCACAATTAGGCAGAGAGAGAGAGAGAAGCAGGCTCCCCGCTGAGCAAAGAGCCTGATGCGGGGCTTGATCCCAGGACACTGAGATCATGACCTGAGCCGAAGGCAGCGGCTTAATCCACTGAGCCACCCAGGCGCCCCACTGTCTTTGATTCTTAATGCTTTGTCACATAACAGGCACCTAGTAGATCCCTTCCTCTAGTCTGGCCTTCTGTGGTCTATCTTCCACACAACGGTCAGTGATGGTTCTGAACTGTAAATCTCGTTTTGTGTCTGAATGTTAGTTATATGCTTTGATGGCTTCCTGCAGCTCTCAGGATAAAGTAAGGTACTTTTGCAAATACCTGTTTACCCCTCCACATCTTTCCCGCTTGCACACTTTATTCCAGGGCCTGCGTGTGTGAAGTGTAATACCGCCTATCTGGGTGGACACCCGGGGAAATCACTTCCCACTTACACTTACTCATTCTCCTAGTCCTTTAGGAAGTCGTCCCAGACCATGTCTTCTCCTGATGGTGTGACTATTGTGTGGTGGCATTTCTTACAATGTATGGCCATGTTCCTTGTTCCAGCAACACTGGAATATTTGAATGCCTGCTTTGGGCTAGGTAAAGGTTCTTTGTCTTTAAACTGACTGCTACTGGTTATCTTTTAGTAATAATTATTCCTGGGGGTTCCTGGATGGTGCAGTCATGATTCCAGGGTCCTGGGATTGGGGCCCAGTTTGGGCTCCTTGTTCGGCAGGGAGCCTGCTTCTCCCTCTCTCTCTGCCCCCCACTCATGCTATTTCAAATAAATAAATAGTCTTTAAAAATTATTATTATTCCTGCATTTCCTTAACAATTCTCAGTTCATAAAGTAGAAGTATACTTCTTTGTTTTAAAGATTTATGTATTTATTTTAGAGTGCAACCTCAGGGTAGGGGCAGAGGGAGAAAAGGTCTTTTTTTTTTTTTTTTTTATTTGACAGAGATCACGAGAGAGAGAGAGAGACAGAGGAGGAAGCAGGCTCCCTGCTGAGCAGAGAGCTCAATGTGGGGCTCGATCCCAGGACCCTGGGATCTTGACCTGAGCCGAAGGCAGAGGCTTAACCCACTGAGCCACCCAGGCGCCCCCAGGAGAGAAGGTCTTAAGCAGACTCCACACTGAGCTCCATGTGGAGCCTGGCATGGGGCTTGATTTCATGACCCCGAGATCAGGACATGAACTGAAACCAGGAATCAGATGCTCAACCAACTGAGCCACTCTGGCTCCCCGGTATAATTCTATCACGTAAACTGATTTGGCATTCTGAGTTTATAGCTTAAATTTTGCATAAGTTAAAATGTTTATACTTGTAATTAAACCAGTCTTTTTGTTGTAGGCAGTTCATAGTATCGTATCCATCGTTTTTGGAACTCGAAGAGTTGCCTGGGCTCACGTGGATCGTAAACTGGCGGTGCTGGACTGGCAGCAGGATGAGTGCAGCCAGCTGATGAAAGGAACGTACATATCATCTGTCTATTTACAAGAGGTAAAGCGACTGCACCTCCAAATTCCTCCCTGCTAGAACTCCTCGTGTAGTTTAATCTTCTAGTTCTAAAGGGAATGGAATACAGTACTGCAGATGGATTTCCCTTGGCTGCTTATTACTCCCCCATTCCTTTTTTTTTTTTTAAGATTTTATTTATTTGTTTGACAGAGAAAGGAGGAGAGAACACGAGAGATGGCACAAGCAGAGGCACTGGCAGGCAGAGGGAGAGGGAAAAGCAGACCTCCTGCTGAGCAGGGACCCTGATGTGGGGCTTAATCCACATGACTGAGTCGAAGGGAGACGCTTAACCGACTGAGCCCCCAGGCACCCCTACTCACCCATTCCTATCATGTTTTTCATCACCTATGATTTTTAAAAATTGAATCTTCATTTAGTTCATGAAATACCTTAATGTATCAAAGGCAGATACTGAGAAAACTGATGGTAAAATACATTAATGTTATAGAACTTCAGCACTATATTTACAAAGCTTATTTTTAATTCTTTAAGAAAAGATTTTATTTATTTATTCATTAGAGAGAGAGAGAGCACAAACAGTGGGGAGAGGCAGAGGGAGAGAGAGGCCGATGCAGGGCTTAGACCCAGGACCCTGGGATCAAGACCTGAGCCAAAGGCAGATGCTTAACTGTCTGAGCTACCCAGGTACCCCTTATTTATTGGTTTTAGTGAAGGGAGCATAAAGGGAGAGGGAGAGAATCCTCAGGCAGATTCCCTGCTGAGCATGAAGCCCGACATGGGGCTTGATTCCAGGACCCTGGGATGCTGACCTGAGCTGAAATCAAGAGTCAGACACTTAACCGACTGAGCCACCCAGGTGCCCTTAAGCTTATTTTTCAAAATCCTTCATTAATTGTCTCATTTGAGTCTTCAGAACCTTGTGAGATGGGTAATAATTACCATCCTGATTACACATATGAAAACTGGTATAATCAATCAAGCATCTGACAGGATTAGTCAGTTAGTCAGTTGCAGATAATGGACTGTGGGCTAGGCCTTCATTTTTTTTTTCTTAAGTAGGCTCTGCATCCATTGTGGAGCCCAGCATAAGGCTTGAACTCAAAACTCTGAGGTCAAGACCTGAGCTGAGATTGAGTTGGGACACTCAACCGACTGAGCTACTCAGGCGCCCCTGATTGTAGGCCAGGTATTCTAACCCTATGCTCTACCCTAGACATTTTCAAAAGGTTACTAAATGTTTTAAGTTGTCTGATCTTAATATAGATTTAGAAATTATGAAGCCCATTTTCAAGATGAAGAAACTAGTACTTGGGAGGACTGAATGATCTGCCTTAGCTCAGCTTATTCCTGATAGAACCAGGGCAGAACTTGCCTCCTGACTCTCCATAAAATGATGATTTTTCAGTTACTTCAAAACGGTCAGTAGTAGGGGCACCTGGGTGGCTCAGTCGGTTAAGCATCCTGCAGCTGTCAGGATAAAGTAAGGTACTTTTGCAAATACCTGTTTCCCCCTCCTGGGATCAAGTCCCGCATCGGGCTCCCTGCTCAGCAGAGAGCCTGCTTCTTCTCCCTCTGCCTGCTGCTCTGCCTGCTTATGATCTCTCTCTCTGTCAAATAAATAAATACAATCTTTAAAAAACAAAAAAAACCCAAAAAACTGTCAGTAGCAGTATAAAGTAAGTTACATATTTTTAAAAGGAAATGGGAGAGGGGACCAAAACAACAAAACTTAATGAATTATTTCTGTTCACTTATTTTGTTTTGTTTTGTTTTGTTTTAAGATTTCTTCAGTCATTTCAAAGATGCCTAAAGCTGACTTCTATGTTCTGGAAAAAATCGGGTTTTCAGTTCAGAACTCATCTCGGTTTCCTGTAGTGTTACATTTTCATATCATGGAAGCCATGCTGTATGCCTTATTAAACAAAACCTTTGCCCAGGATGGCCAGCATCAGGTGCTGAGCATGAATCGAAATGGAGTGGGGAAGCACTTTGAACTGATGATTGGGGACACACGAACTAGTGGAAAAGAGCTCGTGAAGCAGTTCCTCTCAGAGTCTGTTCTGAAGGAGCAGCCTCGGGTAGTCTTCCCCCCTGAGAAGATTGTCCTCTACAGACAGATGTTTTCATCTACCGAACAGCACAGAGCAGAAGAGTTGTATGACTCATTATTGCAAGCTGTTGCCTTCTATGAATTAGCAGTTTTTGACACTGAACCTTAAAATGCTGAGGTTAAATAAAGAGCTCTAAGGTTATATTAATTTATATTTATTAGCCCGAAAGCTGTACAGCCAACTGTTTTTAACATCCATGTTTATGGAGAAGAAAATATGTTTGTATTTAAAGTCAGACTTTCGACTGTTGAATTGTTCAAACAGTAATAAGCTAAATCAATAAATATTTTAGGAGATTCTGTGCCTTTTGGGTATAAGGGTTAAATAGTAAGATGCCCCCTAAATAGCCAAAGCAAGAACGAAGTTATCTTGCCTGAAAAGCAGATTCCATCCCATACCAATGATCTGTATCATTCTATTGTTAATAGAGAGTAAGGATTTTTTGGGGTGGTGCTTATTATGGGAATAACACTAAATATAATCAAGAACACAACTTATGAAGTCATCTTCTTAATTCTGTAAGTAGCATGTGGTTTGATGTATTGCTTCCAAAAGGTGATTTTCATCAATTCAGTTTTATCAGCCCAGAACAAAGGTTTGTCTAATACATTCTTTTTTTCCCCCACTTTGAAATATTTTACTTGGACAGAACATCTTTTTATTTTTTTTTAAAGACTTTGCTCATTTACTCGACAGAGCAGAGAGAGATCAAGAATAGGCCGAGAGGCAGACAGAGAGAGAGGGGGAAGCAGGCTCCCTGCTGAGCAGAGAGCCCAATGTCTGCTGAGCAGACAGAGCAGCTTAACCCACTGAGCTACCCAGGCACCCCTGGACAGACCATCTTTTTAAAAAAGATTTATTTGAGAGAGAGAGAATGAGTATGTGGGGGCAGGGGTACAGAGGGAGAGGGAAGAGAGAATCCCAAGCAGACTCCATGCAGAGCTCCGAGCCTGATGCTGTGCTCCACCCCAAGATGCTGAGATCACGACCTGACCTCAAACCAAGAATCAGGTGCTTAACCGACTGCACCACCCAGGTATGCCTAGATAGACCACCTTTTGAGAAAAGTAGCACGTAATTTTTTCACATCTCACATTTTCCAGTATTACATTTGCCTCAGTTCAGGCCCTCATTATATCTTAGCAGTCCTGAACCCAAGTGTATGATGTCAAAGCATTATGTCCTTCCTTTAATCTACAGAGTGAAATACGCTTGTTAGAAAAACTTTCGAATAATCCAATATGTGAAATAAGGGGGGGTAGGAGGTTGGGTGAGCCTGGTGGTGGGTATTAAGGAGGATACATATTGCATGGAGCACTGGGAGTGGTGCATAAACAATGAATCTTGGAACACTGAAAATTAAAAAAAAAAAAAAAAAAAGTGAAATAAGTAGAAGTCCTTTCTTCCAGCACTTCCCATCTCCCTAGGGATGCAGCCTAGACTTATTGCCATTCACTTGGAAATCTCTACGTTTACATACATGATTGTACGCAAACATCTCCACCTTGGATATGTTGTAGGTATCTCAAACTATCTATCTCAAATAATCCTCTTTCCTTCAAATTGCCTCCTTTGCCATTGTTCTGTAATTTGATAAAGAGCTTCACCAACCATCCAGTGGTTCATGCCAGATATGTGGCATTCTACCTCCCACATATTTCTGGAAATAGCTTTAAGTGAAAATGTGTTAATTGTAGACATTTATAGGATAAGTACTGAAAAAGCCATCAGAATTTGCTTACTTTAACTTAAAAGTGAATCTAAATCTTACAGGATTTTATCACCTTTAAGAATTCATAAGTTTGGGGGGCTGCCTGGGTGGCTCAGTGGGTTAAGCCTCTGCCTTCAGCTCAGGTCATCTCAGGGTCCTGGGATGGAGTCCCACATTGGGCTCTCTATTAGGCAGGGAGCCTGCTTCCTCCTCTCTCTCTCTACTTGTGATCTCTCTCTCTCAAATAAAATCTTAAAAAAAAAAAAAGAATTCATAATTTTCGGGGCATCAGGGTGGCACAGTTTATTAAGCATCTGACTTGGTTTTAGCTCATGATCTTGTGATCTCAGGGTCGTGAGACTGAGCCCCACTTTGGGCTCTGAGCTCAGGGTGGAGTCTGCTTGAGATTCTCTCTCCCTCTCCCTACCCCTCCCACTTGCACGTTCTCTCTCTCTCTCTCTCTCAAATAAACCTTTGGGGCTCCTGGGTGGCTCAGTTGGTTAAACATCTGCCTTTGGCTCAGGTCATGATCCTGGGATTGAGCCCCAGGTCTCACTCTCCTGACGCCCCTGCTCATGTTCTCTCTCTCTGTCAAATAAATTAGAAAAGAAAAAATTCCCCCCCAAATGATGCTAAACCTACAAGAAAAATTTTTTTTAAGATTTTATTTATTTATTTAACAGACAGAGGTCACAAGTAGGCAGGCAGGCAGAGAGAGAGGAGAAAGCAGGCTCCCCGCTGAGCAGAGAGCCCAATGCAGGGCTTGATCCCAGGGCCCTGGGACCACGACCTGAGCCGAAGGTAGACGCTTTAATCCACTGAGCCACCCAGGCACCCCACCTACAAGAAAATCTCAAATGTGTCCCTATTAGGGAAGAAAATATCCCCATTGTTCTTGATTTTTGATCTTCTTAAATAAAATTCTAAAGTTAGTTTATTTTACTCTATTACCAGAATTTTCGATAAGACCAAATTAACAGGTAAGTGCTCTGCAAATAGTGAATGCTAGTATGCAATAGAAGAAAATCCATATACTTAAAAAAAAAAAAAACACCCACAGAACTTCAGATCTATTCTTTTGTACGAGGACAAAACCTGTAAGATACAGCCTATATCCAAACCTATAAAATATCCATATTTACCCAGATAACTACATCTGGACCACCTATTTAAACATTGCATTAAGTCTTTTAGATTTTACCTTTAATTAAATCAATATACTATCAACAAAAAGGTAGACTGAACAAGTAAGAGGTAAAAACATATCTTCATACACATTTGTAAACAGATACACATTAATATTTTCCATCTGTACAAAATTAGGATCCTTACCTTTGAGATAAATATGTAACTCACCAGATAAAGTAACTGAATTTAAGGCTAATACATATATAAACACTTGAAATAGGAAACTATTTTCAGATATACCTGATTATATGATTGCAAAAATGATTTTAAGTGAAATGTGGGATTTTAAAATCTTGTAATTACAAAATACATGCTTTCTCCAAAAAACAACCTTAAGTGGAAATGACTATGATGTAGAAAGTCCATCGAAGAATCCTCCTTTCTTACAATTTTAATGAATAGCAGTTTGTCCAAAATAGATATATTAACATCATTAATATCTTTATGAAATAAAACATCACTGATAGAAAAATATAAGAAAAATGTACAAGGCAAATGATGTGAGTTGGCAAAATATACAAAATATCACATATGTATGGTTGCTAAAAATATCTATGAAAACGACAATTCATAATCTTGTTTTCACTTTGTAAACATTCAATGATTCAATGGCAAAATACACTGGAGGAATACACTAAAAATAAATTTATCTAGAAGATGGTACTTTTTGAAAAATGAAGCATAATTTCTTACCTAGGAAGTTTTTACATAATTTTGTACTGTAGGAACTTGATTACCACCTGGATGATTCATATATACAACTTATCAGAGTACTGACGGGTGGGTGGGAGGGAGGTGGATTAAAAGAGAAAAATTATGGGTTAATTTAATAATGAAACATGTTCAGAAATATAGTGAATTCTACCTTCTAGAAACAACTCACTCACATGCAAAATACAACAAAGCTAACTCAAATAATACAAAAAATTTCAGAAAAAAAAAAAATACCACCACAATCATAAATACAATTTGTAACTCAAATTTTTTCATTTTAAATATTTGAACACTAATAAAAAAATATACAAACAGTCCGTTTTAAATGTACATTAAGAGAAAGAAATTCTTCCATGAAAATCAATATAAAATGTATCTTGAGGAACATAATAATCTGTACAAGGCATTATTAATATGGAATATTAAGGGAAGCCAGCTGCCAAAGTGTTCACAGTCTCTTTCGGAATGTTAAGATGAATACCTTCAAGATAGTGTAGGAACCTGTCAAAATTACAAGGAGAAATTCAAATTTAACCATCAGATGAGAATATTTATTAATCTTGAAATAGCTGTCTACAGTGTTATTTATATAGAGCTTTTTTACCTTCTTTTACTTTTTCCTTGTTCTTTTAACTTCTCAGTCCTACAAATGTTCCGAAGAGTTGGCAAGTACTCAATTATACTAGCTTGTCTGTTACCCAGGTTCAGAAGGGATCGGCTAGAAAATACACTTTTAATGACTGCTGTCCTCTTCCAGGCACTGCTGTAAATGAAAAGTAGTGCATTACTTTGGATTTTTACTGTCCAAGAGAAATGCAACAGTCCCGATCACAACCAGCTTCTGGTTTCTGCTTCTCTTTGCTTCTGGTCTAGATGAGATCAACCAGATTCCAGGTTAACTTCCTATATTACTTTCAACACACTCCCATACCAAAAAGAACCTAGAATGGCTACCCGCTCTCTGCCCCAGCAAATCCAAACTCCATTCCCTGTCGTTCAGGAGTCTTCTAATCTCTCTCATTTTTCTTCCCAGCAATCAGGCTGGTCTCCCTGTCTTATTCTAGAAGGTGCACTATTAATATTAAGGGTTTACCATGATCGATAAAGCCCAGCACTTCAAAATTAGTAAAAAGAAACTAATAGTTTCCTCTTTATCATTTATTATTATTTTTTATCATTTATTATTGAAAAATCAAAAGTAAAAGGAAGACTTACTCTACATTAGCCACTGACTGACTGAAGTATACGTTGCTGCGCTTCTGTGGAACATGAAGAGTAAGCTCCTTTGTTGGATCTCTTCCTGATTTCTTGCAAGAATTCAAGGTTTCCAGTGCTTTTGAAATAGTAGACGAACACTTAGTAAAGCTAAGAGCTTCTATAGCTGCCTTTAATTCTCCAGAGCTCCGAGAAGTCCATCCATCACTGGTCTCCAGACTAAACTCATCACAGAGTCCGCTTTTCACATTTGTCCAACTGAAGTCATTTTGACCAAATTCCTTTTGATCTCCTACATCAGTTAAAACGGCATCTAAGTAGGACATGTTATCCAGGAACTCAGTGAGGGAATTTAAACACTGAGAAACAAGGGCAGAACGTTTCTTTTCTGCCAGTGTTTTAGGTGGACAAGGAACAGATTTCGTGTTAGACTCTACACATTGGTTCAGTTTCTTTGTCTCTAGATTGCTTTCTTTATCTCTGACTTTGCTTTCTTCTGAATTTGAGGAGGAAGATGCAGGGGAAAGGCTAAGAAATTCATTAGAGAAGGTCAATTCAGTGTCAAATAAGTCACTATCATCTAGAATTACTATCTTTTTCTTTTTCTTCTTTTTTTGTGTCTTTTTCAATGGTTTCTCTTCTTCAGAATGTTTCCGAGCAAGACATTTCATATTTTTTGTTGCTGCACTGCTGTCCACACTTACTGATGAACCATAATAGTCTTCTGTTTCTGGAATGATATTAACAGGCAGTGGTAGAATGAACTCAAGATTACTATATAAGAAATCAACATTCTGCATTCGGAATTCTGTA